TTACATTATATGCAGGCATAAGACGAGGTTACATATTGGGCAGTTGGTAAAAGAAACCTCAGCAAAGCTTAAGGAAGCCAGTGAAACTGATCAGCGTTTTGAAGTCGGTGTAAGTGCACATTTATGTTTTCATATAGCAATATTTACTTCCCTGAAATCCGTTGCCTGTTTGCACCATCCTGTATATATGTTTTTTCCCCCTCTATTCTCTACTGTTGTTTTCAACATCTTTAGCTTTCAATGAATTTAGTCCTTCGTATGCTAGCTTCTGCCTCTCTTATACTTGGAATTTTCTTCACTTAACTGCAGGCTAGCAAAAAAATTGCTGATGCTAAACTTGCTAGAGATTTCCAAGCAGTTCTCAAGGAATTCCAGAAGGCACAACGACTTGCAGCACAGAGGGAAACTGCATATTCTCCCTTTGTTCCAAAAGAAGTTTCAGCTTCTGGGTAATTCATATCTGCTCACTTATATCTCTGTTGTTGTTTTATCTGCTTAAGATTCAAGTATTAGTTGTGGAAGCTAATCATGGAAATTGAGAGGAAGCCATTATTCCTTTAATATGTCTTTGATCGCAGATATGGATGACTGGACATTGAGTGATTTGAGTCTACTTTTTTTGTCGTGTTTGATTTTGTTTCAAGTTTTTTAGTGATATGATAATGCATGTTGAAGGAAATAGTCATGAGATGTGTACTTAATATGTTGATCCACTATTTTCGAAATTGGGGTTAGAGAATTAGTGGGTAACTTTATTACTGGAAGTAGCCTGTGTGTTCCCTTGACACGTCAGATAGTTTAATTGTACAAGAAAAGGTTTATGGGCCTTTTAGGAATAACTAACACAGATTAAACATTGATTCCCTCTCCCATTCTGTCTCTCTCTTATGACCTTGGAAGATTTTAAATCCCTCAAGCTCTATCAATATCCCCAAGTCCTCAACTTTTTTACTTTGGTTTTTCACTCTCCTTGTAAAATTAAAGTTTGCAGGGTAATGATACAAAACTTTTCAAGTTGAATTAATCCACATATACCATATTTGGGATGGTGCAATGGATTGGAAAATCATGCAGGGGTGGCTGGATTGGGAATAGAGTTTGGGTCTTTGAATTTGAGCAACAGGACATCTATGTCTAGTGGTTCTGGTTGGTGTCACAGAGATTTCCTTAGAATGGAGTGAGGTGAATGCAGGTCTTATATGAGGAATAAAGGAATGTCAAGGCATATTTGTCATTCAATCTCAGGAGGAGGTGTTCACTTGTGTCTTAAACTCAATTAATCAAATCAATAAAGCGTATCAAGGTTGGTCCCCTGTATATGGTTCCTCCGAATTCTCTTTGGACTTTTTGGCTGAATAAGGGTTCTTGAGATCCAATCTTGATTCTGTCCTTTATATTCTACTTGTATTATTTGAAAAGTGAAGCTTGGGGACTTGATTTGAGATGGAGTGGAATATTTTTCTTATGTATGATGGGAACGAATTGAAACTAAATGTTTGTGCGTAACTTGAACAAGGTTTGGAGTTCTACTCAACTAACTTGATAGCCCATGATAAATTCTCATGATTTCTTCTTAATTATGGATAACTAGTTTGGCCCTCTTGTTGAAATGTTATGTAGTTATGTACAAGTTCTTACCATTATGCTGGCTCTAGGAATGAGTAATTGAGTATGGAAGTCTTGGTCCATGTACAAAGTTCTCAGTAGTCACTTGATGTAACATTCAAAGTTATGAGACAATTTAACCTAGAACTTCAAAACTTAGTATTGTGTTTACATTTTTAGGTTTGGGCCAATATTAGTATTGTGTTTTTGATCCGGGATAATGAGTAAGGCATTTATCTGCAACCAGGCCTGGCTTGAAAGTGTCAGGGTGTTTTGTGGTGGGGGTGCGAGCCAGTGAAGAGGTAGAGAAATAATGGAGTACTTGTATTAGACACAAGGAATGGAATGAAATAGCCTTTCTCCTCTCTAAAGTCTAACGAAACAAAATGGGAATGGAGGATGTTAAATTAATAATTTTCTTTCCTTTGCCTTTCTTGAAACAAAAGATTACTTTAACAGTGCAATATTACTTATAATTTTTTATTACAATTTCAAGAGTCAAGTGGTATATTTTTATTATAGTAATTTTTACTCTTTCAAATTAGGTTGATATCATCGTAATAAGTTCTCTAAGCTAATGTTTTGTAGTTAAAATGATACATCTGTTGTGTAAGTTGGTGCAGTGCTATGTCTTTTGAATGTGTATTTGATTATCTTGTATTGGGTGCAGGTCTAGTAGAAATGATGAAGAGATAAGCTCATTTGAAAGGCAAGAGCAGCAATCCCTTTTATTGGAGTCTAGAAGGTGAGTGATGGTTCTCTAGAATGACTGTGGGTTTAACCTCTATTAGGTTTTCTATTTCTATATTTGAAGAATATCAAAGAAAAGTTAATACCTAATTATGACCTGATGGAAGTTGGTGTCAGATTTAGGGTCTTAAGATTTTAACAAACACATCCCTCCCTCGTCCATGAAGAATAATGGGGAAAAGAGACTGTACACCTTATTTTTGTCCTGCCTGGAGGCCCAGGACTAGTGCTGCAAACACATACAGCGTAAGGAGTGAGGTGGAGGAGATTATTGTCAATGGTAGCTTAGTTAACATAGTTGACCCTTGTGCAAGGTTCACTCCCAGTCTTCCCTAGATGTGACCAGAAAATAAAGACATCTCATATATATTGTAACTATTTTCTTTGATTTTTCCCTTTTTTTGAAACAATTTTTTCCTTTTGAAACTGTACTTAAATGGTTTTTATTTGAAAGGTTGTGGATCTTCAGAAAATAGTGTTTAATCTGTAGAGGAATATTGCTCTCATGACTGGAGCCATCTTAAAGAATTTATATTTTGAAGTATGATGCTTTATCCAATTGTTATATCATTACTGTTTTTTTTTTTTTTTTTTTTTTTTTTTTTTTTTTTTTAAGTTTGCATAGATATTCTTTACCCATTACGGAGTATGTTTTAAGTTTCATAAGACAGATGCTTTAAGTTATAGCTGGTTTGAATGCTGTGTGGTTAGAAATGTGTTCTCGTATCTATCCATCACCAATACTTTTGACTTCCTTGATTTTTTTTACAGACAGGAGGTAGTGCATCTGGATAATGAGCTGGTTTTTAACGAGGCTATTATAGAAGAGAGAGAGCATGGGATTCAGGAAATCCAGCAGCAGATCGGTGAAGTGAATGAAATTTTTAAAGATTTGGCAGTGCTAGTTCATGATCAGGGTGTTATGATTGGTGAGAATTTAAATTTAAAAAAAAGTAGTTACATTTTCTTTTTAATATTATTACTTTTTCAAGTGAAATATCTCCTGCATCACTTATTCACTTGTGAACCATTATTAACAATTTTTTAATCTTTCAGATGATATTAGTTCAAACATCGAAGGTTCGCATGCTGCAACTACGCAAGGAACTACCCAACTTCTCAAAGCTTCAAAGTACCAAAAATCTAGTTCTTCTTTGGTAAGCTGCAACTTGAGCTAACTAATTTTTATTTAAAATGTAATCCATTCTTAGGCTACCATTTGTTTTTCATTATGTGTGAGTGGCAAGGATTAGCATTATGATCAATAGGGAGATTGGAACAAGTCGATTGGTAGATTGATGCTCTTGTGTTTGTATTATGTTATTCACTAAATAAAAATGTAGGAAATTAGGATGTTGATCTCTTAACTCTTTAGGTTACGTCAATATTGTCACATGGAATCCATAGGGGTCTGCTATTGAAATGATTGTCCCTTGATTGTGTTATCATCTACTTTGGTAAACTGGGTTTTAAAAATTAACCTTCTTGATGTGTATCATGCATTCTCATAACTTTGCTATATTCTTGGCTCCAAATAGACTTTTGTTGCTGAGTCCTTGATTGCTGTCTTTTGTGGAATGAACATCATTCTTGATAAAATTTTGGACGCTTAGCACTATATTCTTTTTAATTCTCGACTGTTCTTATCTTTCTAGCTAATTTGACGACGAAGTTCTTCTGAATCTGCAGGTTTGTTTGCTCTTGGTGATATTTGGAATCATCCTTCTCATTGTGGTCATAATAGTTGTGTTTTGAAGAAGAAAATGCCTTCAAATCTAGTGTTGAATTTCGAGCAACCAAATTTATGCCCGCACCATGTCTTTCAAACAACGGTGCTGTAAGAGTGTTCAGGAGTGTTAAGGTTGCTCTGTGCTGGTAAATAAAAGATTGATCTAATACTTGTACAGTCTCCTAAAATATTATCTAGTCCGTTTCTGACCTGTGTCAATGGATGCTGTGACTTAATAATATGTACAAATGAAAAGTATATTCTTATATGTATGCGCATCTTTTTCTTCTTGGTTTGAAAAGTATGCTGAAAATGGGTTTTGAACTTTTGGTATCATGGCTCTCTATGCTGCTACATGTCGAACGGCTTATTCTCGGTTCTAAAGATGACTACAGAGGGAAACGAAGAGATTAAAATTATGTGTCTTGTTTCTTTTCTATACATGTCCGAGTAATTTTTAGCTCATAATATTGTGTACATGTCCGAGTTGTAGAAAAAAAAAGGAAGGACATCGATCAAGTTTTAGCCCTCACGATTTATTTGGTCTAGTTTGCACGCGAGACACTTTGGAGTAGATGGTAGTTGTAGTTACAAAACAGATATTTTGGGCGAGATATTTTGGTAAATTCTACAATTTCCATAAAAATAGTTTTTCGTTAATTGGATTTTGTGAGGGGCTTTCACGGTTCCACATCAGTCTTGTCCAATAGGAATATTGGTCGGACTCTTGCTAAAAATACACATGTGGTATATTACGTATCAAATCTTTTAGCCCTCTAAACCAGATTTTTGTCTAATTTACTCAATTATCCATAAAATCAAAGGCATGTTGTCCTTTGTTAGTCACTTTGAACTTGTTTAGTACACTTCTCGTTGCACGAACTCATTCTTATTTACTCCATGCATAAGATCAATCAGAATTAGATAATATTAAATCGTTAAATCACTAAAAAAAATTGAGTTCAAATTAAATCAAATAAAAAATTATGCTAAAATTTGAAAAGTCATATCATATGATAAGACACATATAAGACTATAAACTCAAGACGTCGGTATTAGATCCCGTACTTAGCATAAATCTTAATTAAGGATAAGAAATTAAAAAGCAAACAGTGTCGTTAAAGGATAGACATTACATTAGAGAGGTAATGATTATGAAATTAAAAAAAGCATTGAAAAAAAAAAATATATATATATCCAAAAAAAAAAAAAAAAATTAAAAAAAAAGAAAAAAAAAGGGAAAAAAAAGAAGAAAAAAGAAGAAAATGAAAACCCAAAAAGCAGTGTAATTGCATTCCAATTCCCCCATTGGTGACTCTTTCGATACCGCCTGCTGCCAGTCTCTTCAAATACTCACTTTCTCTCTCATCTTTATCACAACTATTTCAATTCAATCTTCAACCCCCTTCAATTTCCCAATTTCAATTACTAGGTATTTTTTTCGAACCTTAAACCCTAATTATCCCCTACAAAAATCTCATCCATTTTGATTTGTTTAGAATTTTGGGAATTGTGTATAGAAATCAGTGAATTGTTCATCTAATGGGAGAATCGTCGTTGACGGTGGCTATGGCGGCGAGTAACGGAAATAGTAACGGCGGTAGTACGCCGGCGCCGTTTCTGAGCAAGACGTATGATATGGTCGATGATCCTTCAACTGATTCTGTGGTTTCATGGAGTTGTAATGGTAACAGTTTTGTTGTTTGGAATGTTCCTGAGTTTGCTAAAGATCTTTTGCCTAAGTTTTTCAAGCATAACAATTTCTCCAGCTTCGTTCGTCAGCTTAATACTTATGTTAGTTCTCTTTTTCTCTTGTTTAATTCTTACTTTTTCATTATTGTTGGTATTGATTATGATTGAAATTGCTCAATTTCAATTTGAATTTGATTATGTTTTTGGGATTGAATTTTGAATCTGTGACTAGGTTTTTGAATTTGTGTAGAGTTCTTCGATCATGTTTGGTTCTGTTTATGAAGTGATTTTTATAAGTTGTGATATGGTTTAATAAGTTCGGATAAGGGTTACCCGATGTTAAATTTACCGGGTGAAATACGATTTAGTAAGTTCGGATAAGTTTAGGTAAGTGAATTACAGGTGAAAAGAACATACATGGAATAACTTTATGTGAATTGGGAGGTTTCTGGGTTTAAGGTTAAGGAATAAAGTTATGATCAAGGATATTTTGGGATTTCTGGGTTAAGGACTGTCTCTTCAATGGTGGGTTACTACCGGCTTTATTGTGTGTAATAAGCCCCCGAGGTAGGGATGAGGACCGTCCGTGGCTTTTGGATGGGTACTGTGGGTCTGTGGCATTGCTTACCAGTCTTAATCGAGTGTCTCCGATGATGCACACTTACTGTGTGGTTAATTTCTTGATTCGTTTGCATACTTTTTTGTTCATTTTATATCGGGTCTAAATTTAATTTGAACCCATTGTCCTCTATAGTTTTACAAGCATCTACCTAATTAATATTTAATGAAACAAGTTTCTTGTATGATTATATTGTCTACTGTAATAAACACTACCTTCTAACTGTTATCACGAGTTCAACATTTTAAACATTACGTACGTGTATACGACGGTATGACCTATAATTCAGCCATACTAGTGTAGAATTAAGTGAGGAAAGTGGGAGCTGCTTTGTGGATGTATTGGATCATTCATTCGCTGCTTCTTAATGTCTCAATATTGTGTGTTTTAAGTGTTGCAACAGTTGTTAGAATTTGGATATTTTTCGGCTTTAAGTAATAGTGGCTGCATGCTTCCATGGCTAATGAGGGACTGGTGCTCGTCTTTTCAAACATTCTATACTGGGTGATTTATGATAACTCCTTGTAGAAGCTAGACACCTAGTAGAATTTATGAATTCTAGGTCTTTTCTCGTGGAAAAAGATAAGTGAGTTGGTCTGGGGTTAATTTAGCTGTATAAAAAAAACTATGAGTAATATGGGGACATCTTTTTTTTTTCAAAAAGAATAATGCAGTTGGAACAGGGGACTATTATGCATTAGACTTGAGACAGTATAGAGTTGTTTATTTGCATACAGAACTGTCTATGTGCTCAGGGTACGTACTTGTCAATTCCAGTATTCCTGGCAGGATAAGACAAAGGTTATTGAATTACTGGAGGAAAAGCTTATTATTGCATTTGATATTAGGAGCTTAGAATTTCTTTCAAGCCCTTCTATTTTGCTTGTTATGTCAGAGGGCTATTTTTGCTGAAGTCTTACAGACCATATAGCAATTAAATGGAGAAACTGCTGTAACTACATGGAGTATGTATGCGTGCATTGTGTATTTTTGTGTCTTTTTTGGTTTGCAATTCATAAGAATTTGCAAAGGTCTTATACGAGTATATGCTTTTTTGAAGCACTGAATGACGTAGTCAATCTCTTTCCTAACATATGTGCCATTAACCTTGTATATTACTTAAATATTGAATGCATAGTGCGTCAAATTATCATCTGTCCGTATTGAATGCATCCTTTCATTTTTTTTTCCTGCTCTAACCAGGGTTTTCGGAAAGTTGATCCAGACCGCTGGAAATTTGCTAATGAGGGGTTTTTAAGAGGTCAGAAACACTTGTTGAAGAGTATCACCAGGCGCAAACCGGTTAATGCTCATCCTCATCCACAGCAGTCTTCAATTCAAAACACTTCTGCTAAATCATGTGTTGAGGTAGGTAAGTTTGGCCTTGAAGAAGAAGTTGAAAGGCTTAAAAGGGACAAGAATGTTCTTATGCAAGAACTTGTTAGGTTGAGGCAACAACAGCAAACAACAGATAACCAGTTACAGAGTGTTGGGCAGCGCGTTCAGGGCATGGAGGAGAGGCAGCAGCAGATGATGTCATTTCTCGCCAAAGCTATGCAGAGGCCAGGCTTCTTGGCCCAAATAGTGCAGCAGCAAAATGAAAGCAACAGACATGTCACAGGAGGCAATAAAAAGAGGAGACTTCCTAATCATGATGAAGAAGGTGCTGGAACAGAAAGTATGCATACTGACTACTCTGATGGTCAGGTTGTTAAATATCAGCCTTTGATAAACGAAGCTGCTAAGTCAATGCTTAGAGAGATCTTGAAATTAAATGGACCCCTGCTTGACCAGTCGCCCAAGGACCCTAATAATTTTTTGCTTGATCATGTGCCTGCTGCATCCAGTGTAGTAGACTGTGGCAGCTCCTCTACTCGAACTTCAGGAGTGATTCTTTCTGAAGTAGCACAGTGTTCTAAGCAGTCATTCATTCCTGAAGAAACAGGGTTTTCCAGCAATAATGCTTTAAATTCAGAAATTCATTCTTCTTGCCCTGTGGGAAGTGACCCAGCTAAAGAAATTCAAATCCCAGAAATCGATTTGTCAAGTTCTCAAGAAGATGCATTGATGTCAGAGTTAAACCAAGTGCTTCATCCCGAGAGCAGTCTTAAACTTCCTGATATGACTTTCTCTGTGACCCAGAATCCTGATGTTGGTTTTACAGATTCATTGTCAACGGTTCAAAATGGGACATTACCAAAAGGTTCAGAGGAATACTCTCCCAGTCCTGATCTGGATGTTTGTCTTCCTGGAAGTAATGATGTATTCTGGGAGCAATTTTTCCCCATGAGCCCATTGGGTGAAAATACAGAAGAGGTTGATTCTAGTACACCAGAGACCGGCATTACTAGAGAGCTTGAAATAGGCGAAGATAAGGGATGGGAGAAACTGCACCATATGAATCATCTAACTGATCAAATGGGTCTTCTTACAGCAGAGATGGGAAGGATTTGACCTCAGCAACCAACTTTGTATATCTCAAGTCATTTTGAGGTAAATGTACAGCTCACAAATTTTGCTTGTCATTTTGTTTCTTCTAGACTTGTAGATTTAGTCAGGCAATGTTCTAAAGCTTCTGCCCCAGTGTCAATAGTATGAGTATTACAAAGATGTGAATCATATTTTAGCTTTGTAAAACCTTAGCTGTATGATGTGACTTCTGCAGTATGTAGTCTATTTCCTGGTAGGAGGCTAGGCTAAGTTTTTGTTACTGAATATCAAAGAATCTATTTGCTTACAACAAGTCCTTTTCAGGTTTGTGGTTCATGCTGTTGGCTGAGAAAGATATCATATACCCAAAGCTCTGGTGATGGGAAGCATGAAAGGGTTTTTAGTTATTTTTGAAGTTGTATTAATAAGTTTCTTTTTTTTGTTGTCAAATTACCCTTTCAAATCCACATGCATCCTTTCATCTTTTTATGAGATAATCCAATGAATATATCCTGATGTATGTTGAATGAGGATATTTGGTTGTAAAATATGATGCAGCAAGGTTGTACATTAATCATTCTCATAGCTTTCTGAAATTATTAGGCGTTCTATCCATTTCACCTCCTAAATTTGGCAAAGGATCTATACTTCTATGGTCGCCTTAGAAGAGCTGTTGATTTGATGCTATTTTTGAGGTATGGCTCAGCTTTCGTAGTCTGCCAAAAATAGAAGACTGGCCTAGCCTGTTGAATTAACCCTGGCAGTTCAGGCTGTGGTTTTGTCCTAACCCCACTAAAGGTTTGAAGATGGATGGGTAGTATAGGTTGTTAGAGCAGGGTGGGGTTTGTGGCGGTCTGTCAAGCACTTGGAATTGGTGCCAATTTGAAGCGGGTGTTATGATAGTAGGAAGTTATGTGGTTTATGAGTGCCTTTTTTCAGTATATTCTGAGAAATGGTTGTTCTTTGTTGGGATACCTTGGATCAATTTCATAAGATGGCAGAAATAATGCTGCAAAGGGATTTATTCATGTTCTGCAGTCTGCACTCACTCAAATAATGAAGTACTCTCCTTGGTGTGAGTTTTAAGTCCTTGCTGGGAATTTCTGAAATTGTGACCCAGTCGGAGTTGGATGGATTATTATTGTGAGTTATATAAAAGATATTGGAGTAGTTTTGTTACTGCTTGTTCTATCTGTACAATGATTCAGTTTGGTTGGGTTTCTTTAGCAGTTTATACAGGAATGCATTGTAAAAGTGCAGACAGGAGGTAATTGGTAATGCTTTCAGGCTCGTTTGAGTAGAAGAGAGATACATGAAATATGATTGCCTGTTAGGCTTTTATCAAGTTACCCAATGTCTATACAATATACTCCGTACAAAGTCTACAAACAGTCAAGGTACCTGAAAACCAAACCCCTGCCATGACTGCTCATACTGGATTAAGTAGATGTGTAGATCTTCAACATAAAACTATGGTTTACCAAACTTAAGGTTAGACATCTTCGATATTTACAGGTATGGAGTCTAATATATAATGACCAAGTCTCCCGGTTCGAAAAAGATTCAGTAATTTAACTGCAACTTTGTGCTCAATGTCCTCTGACCCTGCTGGCAATTTTAAAGCCTTTTTCAAAACGTCAAACTCTGCTTTTATTAGCCTTAACAATTCCTCTTCTTCTTGTAAATTACCTCTGAAGGATGAATTAACTTCAAACAGGCTTCTACGAACAGAGAGTACTACAGAATCCTGTACACAATAAACATGTAACATACTCCATAATAGCTTAGACAATAACTAAATCTTGCTACCAGTCTAAAGACCTAATACATGCCCAACTTTATTGGTCAGTGATGAATTTACCTGAGTATGGTCCGTGATGACTTCTGGTGTTGTGGTTTTGTCATTGTTTCCTGAAACGGGAAGCTCATGGATACATAGCTTCTCCCATTTCTGGTACTCATGGTTCAAGTTTAGGACAGAAAGAAAATATTGTGCAAGTGCTTTCTCGCCTGCTAAATTGTCTCTGAGAGCTCCTGCAACACATCAAGGGAGAGAAGGATGCAAAATTTACCTCCTAACAACAATATAAGTCTCAATTTAAGAGGTTTGGTTCATCATTAATTAACTGAAAGCGTCTAATGCATCCAATGTGAAACAATTTTCCCTCCACATTTTCTTTGTTCGGGTAGTTAGATCAAATTCTGTGTAATCAACACCATACTGTGTAATCAAATTCCTTCAACCTTACCTGTTAAAGCTAACTTGGCGCAGGCTTCCACATCATTTAACTGTGGTGGTAGAATGCCGGGGGTATCCAAGATATAAATGCTAGGATGGCTAGCAACCTGGAAACACAAGATCAGTTCATCAGGACACAAACTGGTTACAGAAGTACTATAATGTTGGTCATATGAGTGTTCAACAACCTTCAAGCTGCATATACTCTTCGTCTCACCGGGAATAGGGCTGACAACTGCATGCTTCAGCTTCCCTTTCTCTGTTGCAAGGAAAAAATGTCAATAATCAGAACAATTGACAAAGTAGACAAGAAGACAACGCTGCACATAACCGAAGTAGATAGATTTAAACCTGCAGCACTAATCCGCCCGATGTGATGCAAGGAATTTGCAAGAGCCGATTTCCCAACATTGGGGATTCCAACCAACATCATTGTTATGGTATGCCTTTCAGGCTCCGATTTCTTCAAAGCTCTCACTTGGCTTTGCAAAAAGCCTAGGAACTGATTAACACAAATCAATATACAAAGTGATAGTCACTAGTTTCTTGCATCATCTTTGCAAAACTTCCCTTTGTGAGTACATGCAACATGCTTCTTTTAATTCAATGATTTTTGCACTTTGTATGATTAATTTTACCTCTTGAATGTTGTCTTTATTATGTGCATTCACACCAAATGTTGGAAAGCTTTCTCGTTCGAAATACCTTGTCCATTCCTGAAGTTGGAAAATAATATGAGTATATAAGCAAACACATATCACATTTTACTACAAATCTACAATAATGTCCGAGGAAGATCAAATCACCTTAACTTTTGAACGACCGGCAAGATCCACCTTGTTTAAAACTACAAGGCGACGTGACGACGAAGAAGTAGATAGTCTCCTAAGTAGCTCACATTCTGATGACAATGGTATCTACATGAACGTGATATTAATTATAAATGGTAGAAACGGAGAATAATCTTATAATCGTTACTTGGACTCTCTATATCACCTTAACCGGGCATGTCACATTATATATAGAATATGGACACGTAACTCTTCATTTTGGATCAAATTTGGTTACTTTCACATCATATTATTTACACATATTCGAGGGTAATATAAGTACCCGAGTCCAAGTAACATTAGCTACGTGTTTTATTAGTTAACATTTCACCAAACAAGTTATAGTCATGACTCATAACTCATAATAAACCTAGGAGAGATTAAAAATTTGAAGAATTAACCGAGTCCGAGTAACATAGATTACGAGAAAAACAAATTGGCATTTCATCAAACAAGTTATACTCATGAAGAACTAGAAAGAGTGAAAACAATAATGAAGCAAAAGTGTAATGGAATTACCCGAGCATCTCGAAGATCAAGGACAAAATCAACACTAGCAATACGCTGAGAAACAGCAGTAGAAGCGGCCGCCATGAAAGGAGTATACAAGCTTTTCCCATCTCCCGCCATTTTTATAACTGTATTACCTACTCGTTTCGCCATCAACAGTAAGCTTTCCTTCTTTGTCATTTTCTTCTTTTTTATTTTCCGTAACTTTTTTTCGCAATATAAATACAGCTGTCCAAACAAACGTTATCCAGTTTTAGAGAGAGAAAATTGAATTAATGGTGGAAAATTTTCAATAAAAAAGCTAATAATTTGTTGTTTTTAGGTTGAAGAAGAATGTTAATGGCGGCGGAACCACTGAATTCGATTTCAAAGGGATTAGGGTTAGGGTTAGGGTTAGGGTTGGGGAAATTGAATTTGAGAGGTAGAAATGGAGTGTCGATTAAATTGGGGAGAGGAGAATGTAAATGGAAAGCGAGTATGAATTTGATTACAAATCCTGATGCTTTTCAAGTTGGTCCTTTTCTTGGTAGCTATGGCTTCTTCAATGTTACCAGGTTTTTTAAGCTTTTTCTCTCTCCTCTAATTTTCCGCCATTTTTATGCTGTATGATTTTTAGGAAAGCTTCGAGTTTATATTAATAACTCCGTAAAATGTCTAATCATTACAAATAATATTAAACGGGGGTAGTAGTTGAAATTGTTTTGCCTTTTCTATTCTGTTATGGTGGTGGTGCTATGGTTGCTGGCCGAGAGATAAATTGTTACTCTAATTGTTTTTGTTACGGAGTATGTTTTTACTAGTACTCCTTCCGTCTCAAATTGAGAGGGACACTTGATTTTACATGGTTTACGAGGTTGGTTATAACCCTTACTAATATCTCTGATTACATATTAATTAATACGGAGTAATATTTTTTAAACACTAAGTGAGCAAGGCCTTTTGATTAAATTTACTCCGTAATATGTATTGGAAATGAGTATAATGATTTTTAAGGTTGAGTGAGCAAGATCTTGGTTGATTGAACAAAGCCTGAGATTAATAAAAAAAATTTGATTTAGCAAGATCCATTAGATGACGATTTTTTTTTTTCAGCTTAAAAACCACCAAAATATTAAAAATCAACTTTGTGGCATTTCAGCTATTCAGGGTTTAAAAGTGGTGTAGATTATGACTATCTGTCAGAGGATATGGGGAAATTGAGAACTCAAGATGTTGGTGAAGGTGGCATCAATATCAGGTGTGTTCTGTTATCATCATTACTCATATGGTATCGTTTTTAATTAATCGCTGCATTACATGCTGCTTCCTTTGTGCTACTTATTACTTGATTACTTTGAAGTTTGGGGGAGTGATGTTATCCTTGGCAGTTCTTTGCAGGCTATATGAAGGAAGAATTACTCAAGGTTCTTTGAGAGGTACTTCTGTTCTTTTTAAGGTACTGTGACAAAAAGGAAGAGAGCTAGTAAATTGCGTTAATGATAGTGCATTTGTGTCCAAATTTTTATTGTGGTCTCTTTTAGAAGCTCATTTCTCATTTATTACTATTTTAAATGCGAGTATTGAAAAATAGAAATATAAAACTTAAATTGCTTGATCTAATTTAGACAATCATCTCATGTCAATGTCCCCGACTCCCCGGTATTACCATGGACAGTTGGTAATTGGCTTGAGGATTTCCTTTCATTAAAAAAAAAAAAAAAAAAGACACAAGCGGGCCATTTATATTTCTCTTTAGAAATACTTCAACTCCTTCTCAGACCTCAGTACCTCACCTTGTTTTCAAGGATTTTCTTGTCCAATTTGTTGATTGTTAGGTTAAAGGTAAAATATGTTCACCATTAATAATTTTTCTTTCAATTTCTTATTTTCTTTCATCACTGTGGAATCAAGTAAATGGCTTACACTCACCAAGGATTTTGATCTGTGTCAAAGACTTTGGGTTTAAATCACAGGACCATCTACTTCAAAGTAAACCTTGTCATACTAGAGTAACTGATTCTTGGACCTGGTTCTAGGTGAAGTTCTCAAGTATTGATTATCTGCTTGAAAATTGGTTTAGGTATATCCTGGACAAAGGACCGGTGGTGCTGAGGCCGACATGATGGCTGCCAATGAGCTAAGTACTCATGTTTTCCTTCAGGTAAGATGAAGTAGTTTTACGGACTTGAAGATCTTTTGAGTTCACATCAGAGCACTTTGTTTTCAAACTCTATGAATTGAGATATCTATATTTCTCTCAGAGCTGCTCAAATGAAATATGCCAGAATATCTTGATGTTATTAGGTGGATTCGAGACAAATACTGGTGAGCAGGTATGTTGTGTTGAGCTTCCCTGTTTCTACTTTAATTTAGTTTGCCATAAACTAAATAAGTTGTCTGGCCTTTGTAGTGGCTTGCTTTCCGCTATAATGGAAAATACACTGCAGCAGACTATGCAAAGATTTCCAGTGAAAAATTGACAAAGAATAAGTCTCTTGATCCGCAATCATTTTGGAATCCTTTTGAACAAGGGCAAACATTTAAACGCAGAAGATATTTTGTCATTAAGATGCTCCAGGGAATATTCAATGGCCTGGTCTATATGCATGCCCATGATAGATTACACCAGAGTCTTGGACCAGCTTCTGTTGTTCTCAAGTATGCTATCTGACATTATTTAAGTATGACGAGTGCTAGCACATATTATGTGATTATGCCACTTTGGTAATTTTTCCTGTGCATAATTGCTATGAAACTTGTCCTGTAATGGCAGTACAATATCTGAGAGGGAAGCACCTTACCTGGTTGCGACACTCCGAGATTTTGCGTTTTCAGTTGATATAAGGTTTGCTACCTGTTTCTTCTTTACTTAAATCAGTTTCAATTAAACCCTACTCATTCTCTAGATAGAGAAAGTTATAGCATGTTTGTCAATAACATTACAGATTTACAGCATCCATTCTTGTTTGTCTGTATACTTAGAGCTTGGAATCTGTTTATCTGATATTTGCCTGATAGGACTTCAGAAGGAGCTAAATCTAGGTTGAACATTCTTTATTATCATAAACTTGAGCACATAGAACCTTCAACTTTATCATTATAATTTTGAGTACATAGTACTTCAATTTTATAATCATAAACTTGACCACATAGAACCCTTTGATTTATTAATTAGAGAACAAGATGAAAAGAGTGTTAAAAGGCTAATTATTTTGTTCAAATGTGTTATGTAAATCCATGATTTAGTTAGATCCATTGTTTTCTTTTTTAATGCATTTTTTTTTAAAAATATATGTGTAATGCGTAAGTTGCTCCTTTTGAAGTAACTAATGGTTTCTTTTTCTCAAGATTTAAGTTTGTATTCTTCCACTCTTAACAATAACTGACAAACAAACAAACAAATCCTTAGTCTCAAAATGGTTTGGGGATGGCCAACTTAAACCGTCATAAGGAACCGTCCAGGAGAGTGAAAAAAGAAAAGTAAAGAGATTCTTTTATGCTTAATGTAAGAATATACTCCTTTCATTCTCAAATAGATTTCCTATATGGTTTAGAGTTTAGACATGCATGTTAGGAAATTAGTAGGGCTAGTAGATGTTGAGGTAGATAGTAAGGAAATAAGAAATAAATAATAATTTAAAGATATTTTGTGGGGGAAGAGGGCCTGCCCCTGCATGGCATGGAATTTGAAAAGAGAGGGAAAAATAGAGTTAGTGGAGGGGTATGCATCACATAGGTTGAGTGTGAAACTCCATGAACAGCTCTAATGTAAACCCATGATAAGGTTACATCTTTAGTTTTGTATTTAAATGTAACCATTTTAAAATCTATGCTATGAAATCTGATTGAATTATAAACAGATGTTAATCGAATAATAATGGGGAAGAGGAATGGAATATTCCTTATTTAAATGGATATAATGGATGGGATCAAGGGTTTGACACATGGCATAAAAAGTATGTTTTGAATCATTAGTATAGATATAGATAATGATTGTAATGGGTACAAGCTTAATGCCTCTTTCCAGTTATTTGTCATTAGAGAAAGGTCCTGGATCTTTGTCAGAAGGACTTTGGAGGAGAGCTATTGCAGCTGGTGCATATAATCCTATGGAGAAAAGAAACTTTGGGATTGCAGATGACATGTAAGTATGTGAGGAGAGTCATGCATGATTTGTTTGAATGTAGCTAAAAAATGATTTTCTGACTGGCATTATGAATAATTGCCTGCATAATTACTTGGATTTTGTCTTTGAAATTCTATATGCAGATATGAAGCAGGTCTTCTTTTTGCATACTTGGCTTTCGCTCCATTTTGTGAAACTGGCATCATGGATAGTCTTTCTTTACAAGTGAGTCGTGCTACTTTAATTGTAGCATTTACATAAGCTGCTAGTCTGTGGTATCCACCTTTTTAAATTGAATGAGTACTGAATAAAGTAAATTACATCGAATTGCAGAGACTAGTGGAGAACACTTTTCAGCTTGATCTCCAAGCATTCAGAGAGTATGTCTTTAAACTTACTATCTAAGATTAATATCATAAGCACACTGAACATAATTAGGTTTTTATTTGTAATTATTATTTGCATAATATTCTGTATATATTATGGTTGTTCTAGCACAAATCATGATTAGAGATAATCTGTAACTGTCTGACCACCAACTGGTATCCTTTGAGGATGTAGACAATATAAGTTTTAGGGCACTCCTATATTAACTTATTGAGCACATGTAGCCTAGTCACATTTTGATTCTTGAAAAGGACATAAAGATTTCACATTCTAGAACCGACTGTATGTGATTGGTTAACGTTTTGTTTGTCGCTTGAATTTCCATGGGTTTTTGTCAACTTATATGCTGTAACATACTAGCATTGCAGTTTGGTACTGATCCAAATGTGGCTTTGGGTGAGTTCATGGTAGGGTGGGGTTGTCTGTAATCTCCTATTATGCAGATACTGAGCTCCTGTGCGATTAATTGACTGCACTACATTTTTTTGTTTTACGAAATTATATGTGGGGATATAAAATCTTACTTAGGCATCTAATTAGCAGTGCAACCAATAGTAAGGACCCTTTTTCAATGTTCTGTATTAATTTCTATGCATTTAACATGCTTTCAGATACTGTTCAGCTGATGATCGCTTGCTACAAGCTGTCAAATTCCTAGATCTTGGT